TAAATGAGAAGCAATGGGTCCTGTTAAAATCTAAGGCTTCATGTATGATTAATTTACATGGGAGTTATTGAGTATTCTGTTCAATTTCATTGGGAGAATTCTCCGTGTATGTAGAGAATGAAGCGTGAAGTGAAAATCTAGGAAGCACTGGACAGCTGTTTGAACCTAGTTGGGTCTCATCAGCCATGCGGATCCATCGAACCAACTGGGGATCGAACCCGGAACCTCACAAGCAGAATGCAAGCATGCTACCCTCTCGGTCATCGAAGAGCTGATCAAACTGCTTTTCAGTTTCCATTTACGCGATAAAGCACAATCCATCTCTGCGAGTTTGTTGTGGACATCGCGTCTTGGGGATCTCAGCACTGTAATTGGGGAACATCACCACATGGCATGGAATCATGTGACCCCATGAGACCACAACCTACTTTATAGTGAGATGAATAAATAGTTCCTACTGCTAAAGTTAAGTTTAGACGACAGTTCTCGAACCTATGCAAATTGGAACTAATCGTTCTTGAGAACTTAACTGTTAAAATCTTCGACAACATTGAATAAAGGTATACGAGTGAGCGGAAAAAGGGAAGTTCTCGAAATGAACACTGTTAATTATAGCCAAATATCACATAGTACAAATTTGAGTTGGAGAAAAGTTGAATTTCGCACACTCAATCCTTTAACTGGGTCCAACCCCAGAGTAGTGGTCAGGCAACGTAAAAGATAGCTTTGCGAAGCACTAGCAGATATATAGAACGTAACGATGAAGATATATATATATATATATGTATATATATATATGAAGATGTATACACCGACATTTACGGAGGGTACACGTATGCCGTTGGGTCTAAAATGATGTGGTTCCTTGTGCATGTTTTGTTTAAATGGGACCACCAAACAACTGAATTCTACCTCGCAAACAGCTTCGGAGTTGTTTTCACTTAATCAATTGGATAGGAGGATCTGTCCAGTACTGAGGCATGTATAGGGACTAAGTTCAGCCTTGGAAAGCCGGGTTATTTTGCTTAATATAACTGTAGAGCATTATCATTTCCTAGATAGATAGGAGCGTAAAACGAATTGCCTGAGCATGCAACCGTTTGCATCTAATTCAACTCTGGTTTACATAAGCGCAGTTCAAACGAGGTAGATAAATATACTCTACAGGTGTTACTTTCTCAGAGGGAGTAAATACACCACGAATGATAACAACTGAAATTATCCAAAACTTCCCTCGTTTTGATTTTGTATTTGAAATTTGAAGGCAGTATAGTGTGCAGTTATTTTGAATTATATTTCGTTCACTGCTAATTCAAATTTAGTATAATATGTAAATCACAAAGCTGATGATCATTGAATTCCATAGGATCTGTACATACCGGGTTCGGTTGTTAGTACGATTAAATAGTAAATTATAACGTTCGCTCACCGGTGCTGAACAATTAGATGTGTCAA